TCCCTTGAAACCAAGAGAATGCCCACAAAGATAAACAGATAATCTGTGACTTCTAGTTTAGTTGTCCTTTTTCATAGGTTTGCAGGAAGCGTACCGCCAAGCTTTTGAAATGATGCTGATGTTGTTGTTGTCTTCTATGGACATGACCATGGCTATTGCAGCGGCATCGGCTGCGACAGATGCAGGCGATTTTCTCCTGGTTTCCCGTCATCACGATGGACGGACAAGACCCCGGCAAGGTAATCGGAAATTACCGTTAGCACAAGCACATGAATGCCAGAAGCTTTTGCTGCTGCTTTTTGCGCTTCGGCTTGGACTCAGGAACCGTGCCTGCCGTTGCAACACCTTGTCAAACCGGTAAACTAGAACCTTTGGCCAAACAAACATATGGTTTATCCCGTACAGGCTAAGAAGGTTCCAGGCTGTGAGGCTTTTGGGTATTGGGTGCGGATATTGGAACTTGCAAACTTCGAGCCCTAAGCTCCTACGCGTGCATGCGCCAGTCTGCGAGGAGTTTTCTGGCCTGGGCTTTATTGGCATGTTCCTTTTCCTGGTGACGCAAAGCCACGTCACCGAGGACGTTTTGGCGAGGAAGGTGGCTTGGGGATAGTATACTTAGACTAAGACTTCGACCCTAAAAAGTACCTAAATAGGAACCCCTTTCAGGCCGAAGTATATACTATATGGGTACATGGAGCCTTTGGGTAGGACAATGCTTGGGGTCTAGAGGTTACATGGGTGCGAGGCAGTTAGCCGTGTGGGGTTGAGACTTGTAGGCCCCGGATGAGGCTTTAGGGTTTTAGGGTTTAGGGTTTAGGGTTCACTGTCTTTCAGGAATAAGAGTATCCGTCTCAGCAATCTGCAGTATGGAAGGGTCTCATTGATCAACCGCCTACATGAGTGAAGGTTTTTGTGTCGAGTATTTGCATTTTGAGCCTACCCTAAGGCTGCAAGCTGCAATGCGCCTCCCATCAAGCTTACCTGGCTTATCTGTATCCCCAAACCCAGAAACTAGTAGGTTGTGACTCACACCTGTTCAGAGCCATACGCCCCAAAAGGCGTTAAACCCTAAATGGCTTAAAGCCTTGAGCCCCAGAAATTTAGGCCTTTGGTTTCTGCAAGCCTTCAGGAGGCGAGCCGGCAAAGCCCCAAAGCCCATCAGCCCCACGAAGCCGTAGATAACCCTAAGCCGATTCATTTCCTAAGCCTGAAACCGCCTAAGCCCTCACTGTGCCTTCTGCGAGTCCCTTATAACTCCAGAAGCCCCAAACCCCCGGTGTACGGCAACCCTTACTCTTGAGGCCCTATTAAGGAATTCCAACTATTAGAGGAGCCCTCTCATAAAACCCTAAACCCCAAACCCTAAATCCTAAACCTTAAACCCTAAACCCTTAAAAAGAGCCCTTACAGCCAGGTCTTCGGCGACAGCCTCAAGGAGTTTGACGCCGAAGATCCTGTTGCCGAGTCTTTCGAGACGGTGCTCTGGACTCCGCCTTACGTGCAATCTTTTCGGGTTCACGGGCTTTGGGGTTCCTTATGGATCCATGGGGGTTGAGCGTCAAGGTTTTGTTCTTGAGCTTTTTTGTGGTTCAGGATATTTGGTTTTGGAGTCTTGCGGGCACATGGATTGGTATTGAGCATGTACTCTGCTCGCAAGGAGCGTAGTGTGTTCGATTTTCACGGAGGGGCTCCGGTGCAAAATTGTGGAGAAGAGGGCGTACTTTTATCTTGTGGGCCCAGCGCGGTGCCTGTGTTTCGATGATTTGCAACAGGCTTGTTTGACCAACCGGGGTTCGTGATCACTGTTTCTCTTCGTGCGATCCATGCTGCTCTGGTTACACAGTCAGTGTGGTTGCCTCATCTCAGTGGCGGTTTGGCTGCTCCTGGTTGGTATAATGACAAATATGTACCAAAGCTATTCTGTGGGGTTGCCTAGTCTCCAAAATAGTATACCCTCCAAGCCCCATGTTACTTATTAGGGCCCCTATGTTACTGCAGCAGGAGCCTGAGCTGTGGAACTCGGTGGTGGTTTGATTTTCTGTACTTTCGGGACCACTTGACTTCTGAACACCCACGTGATCTGCGGGAGGTTTGGGAAGAACTGTGGGGAAGTAGAAGTATCAGCCCAAACTTCGTATAGCAAGCCAGTAATCCACTGTAGTGCCCCTTATAGTCACCCTGCTGCTGCAGACTTCCAGGTCCACATGATGATTTTCCTGCTTATGGCTGTCCTCATGTTCCAGGCGATGCAAGCCGTACAGGAACAGCAAAACATGGCAGTTTCCCTATAATCTCTTTGCCGATATTGTAGAGCACCTCAAGACACCTTCTAGTTACGTCTAATTCCTCAGACTGCAATATAAGATCTGATATAGGGGCCTAAATAACTACCTATGCTATGTTGGAGGTTCCTTGGTATAGCTACAGTATAATATACCCCAAGACCCTACTGTAATTATTAAGACCCCTACAGTAGGCTTGAAGGTTGATGGTTTGCAGGATGTATATGGATATAGGGCTCATGATATTTTGAAGTTCCAGGGTGTGGGCTTCACTGTTCAGGCTTGCTCTTTCGATAGGTACTGCTTCATCTATACCTATGTCATCCTATATTTGTACTTGTATTGTTTACGTATATCTGTACCTGTATGTCTGTGTATATAGAAATATGTAGATATCTGTCCATACGTGTATGTAGCTTTATCTTTGTATCACACACACAAACACACACACACATTCATTTATGCTCACAGAAACAGATACATGTTCTTACACAATATGTACAGACATTCACATATACATACACATACAAAAAGATGCATGACAATTACATGCATACATACATACATACATACATATTCACTTATATACATATATACATACACATGCATCTGTCACTCTGTTTGTTGGTCTGTCTGTCGGTCTGTCTGTCGGTCTGTCTGTCTGTGTTTATTCAGATAGATAGACAGATAGCTCCGGCGATCTTTCTCTGTCTCCCTCTCTGTCCCTCTCTCGCTCTCAGCTATAATCACAATCTAAGTGTTCGTGCTGCGAGAAAGAGAAAGAGAGAGAGGAGGGAGGGAGGGAGGGAGGGAGGGAGAGAGAGAGTTAGACAGAGTGAGTGAGAGAGGGAGTGAGAGAGGGAGAGAGAGTGCGAGAGAGAGAGAGAGAGAGGTAGACAGAGTGAGAAGAGCGAGAGTGATACAGAGAGAGAGAGAGAGAGTGTGTGTGTGAGTGAGAAGAGGGAGAGTGAGAAAGAGATAGAGAGAGCGTGAGTGAGAAGAGGGAGAGAAACATAGAGAGAGGGAGAGAGAAAAAGCGATCGCGGAGGGAGGGAGGGAGGGAGGGAGGGAGGGAGGGAGGGGGGTTGTCGAGTCCCTTGTCCCAGTTGCCTGGCTGTAGAAGTCGGCGGCATCTACCCAAATGTCCAGGCGAGACCTGCAGTGCGACAGGACATGAACATGGGACGCAGTGTCACACTCCTCCGATGCATGTTGGCAAACCTCATGTAGCGGTCGAGGAGGCCGTAGCACAGCATGCCGGAAAAGAGCACCACCTGCAGCAGCTGGTGGCGGTCTTGGATGGTAGCTATTATCAGCTGTTCTTACCGGACTTAATGTGCGACACTACTCTAGGATCTGCCTTCGCTGTCAGCATGCTTACTGGCTGACATGAACCGCAACAGACTAACTCGGTGCCAGGGCTGCCACAAGGAATGGGAGCAGATTCCTCGGAGCTCAATGCTTCTCAGAAAGCTGTCAACAAAGGCAGTGGAATTCAGTAGACACGCTTCATGCAACTTTCTGCACGATGCCCCTGTGCTTTGATGTGCCATTGCGTACCAGACACTTGTCCTTGCACATGGAATGTAAGTGTACTTGGGCACTGAGGACGGCTCCAAGTCAGAACGACGAAAGTCTCGTTCAAGCGTTGGTAATTCGCAAGCGCATCTGTGGAAGCATGCTAAGAGCTGTTGTGCTTCTCTTTTTCAGGTCGCCCAGCCGTGGAGTTGATTCCGATCGGCTGATGCCTTATTGAAGTAATACCCATGCTGTGCCTTGTGCAGGTCTGAGTTCCGGCAGGTCGAAGTCATGATGCCGGGCGGCCGCCATCCTTGCTTGCGGCGTCAGGTGCAATGGAAAACAGGACAGCGCTCGGGCAGATCCATTGGGCAAGGGCTTCAGAGCTGAAGCCATTCGAAGGGGGTGAAGCACGGCTTTTGAGGCTTCAGGCAAGAGACTTGAACGCAGGGCCACGTTTCAGCAGAAGGCTGCAAGGGCTGGAACTCAGGATGCTCATGAATGTGAGGCCCGGGTTCATCCTGGGCGAGGAGCGACGTTTGTTTTAGGTGCAGATGGGTCCATTTCTTTTGCCAAGAGCAACTTGGCTAACGGCATGCTTCGCTCTTCAGCTCCCAGGTGTGGCTGCCTGAGCCAAATGGGGCAGCTCCGAGATGCAGAGGCCACGAAGATCAACGAACACCTCTACATGCCGAGACGCATCAAGCAAGATAAGGAGAACCAGCTTGCTTCGCCTTCAGGCGCCTGGCTGTGAAGCAGAGCACTCACGGGATTCTGTAAGGCGGTCTGAGGAGAGGGCTCCATCCGTGGCCAGCAAGACCTCCAGAATTAGCTTGATGGCGAGATGGTCCCTCAACCTCGTCTGTCCAAGTGCCGCACGGAGTTCGTCATGCCACGCTGGCCCCCCCCCNNCCTGAAGACCAGCTGAGCCTTGCCCCCCCCCCCCCCCCCACACACACACAACCGAAACCGACGCTAAGGCTTGCACAGGCCTGCCTTGCACCAGGACCAGGATGCTCACAGGCTCTCCACGCTCTCTTGCGATGCTTGCCGACACCGTTTCCGGAGCAAAACCGCCTGGGTGATGTATCGCTGGATCTGCGCGCCGAGCACAGCCCTGAGCTGCATCAGAGATACCATCATAAGAGTCTATATAAGTCACCGGGTCTCTACAGCTCAGCTCTGCTGCTGCCATGCTGCATAGCGATACAATGGTTCAGCAAGATCTTGAAGAGAATCAAATGACAGTCCTGCCAGCACCAAAGGCTTCGGCCGCGACTAAGATGCAATTTGCTTGCAGCCTTCTTGCTGGTCAGATCTACCGTCGCCATGAGCAAATGGATGACGATCACATAGCCAAAGAAATACATCCTGGGGGGGACGAGACAAAGCAATTCCGGCACCGGCACTGCAGGCCCACAAGTTCTTGCCAACTCAGTGCCAAGCCCAGCAAAGATGACCCCATCTGAGTTTGCGAGTCACTTGCCAGGGGTTCTGCACACGGACAGCAGGCCCCATGACTCCATGACTCATCACGCCATCTCAAGGGACAGCTCTAAGGGGCCGTTACTTTTAATGCACGAGGTGAGTGAAGATGAGAGGACAGTAATTCCTGGCACCATATGAGCTGACTCTACCACGTCTTCATTCGAACCTCGTCGCACTACTAGCTGTGCACCTCTCTTGCAAGTCCCACTGAGGCCAGTGACACAGTCGATCCGGACATCGGCTGCAGGTTCCACTGCTGATGAAGCCGGGTAGGCAAGAGTAGCCTCTACAGACGCCAAAAGCATGCTAAGCCACGAATCTGCCCCAATCTGCCCTACTCAAGCTTGAGTGCGAAGTCCCACAGGCCGCGTGCTGAAGGCTGTTCATGCACCATCTTGCTGCTCTTCTTGCGCAAACCACACTCTGGGAGTGGCACAATGGCGACCTGCATGCCCTTCAGCACAGACCTCGTTCTTCAAGCAAGCCTCAGATCAAGAGCCAGAGGCTTTCCAAGCTGGCTCATGCACCCCCTCACCTACAGGTGGACTTGCCTCCGGCATGGCATCGCACCGCTCAATGTCTGCCGAAGGCTCGCTTCCCTCAACCTTGGCTTGCTGCCCTGGAAACGGTGAATTCTCGCTGCATCTTGTCATATGCAGGCTGCAGTCTCCGAACGGTCAAGGATCTATGGACGCCGCACTGATGTAGCGGACCAGGAAGTAACCCTGTGCATTGGAAGGTGTGGAGGTTCCGGGCCTCAAATGTTCAAAAATAAGGCTGCAGCACTCCATGAATAGCTGCATAGCTGATGGATTGCAACAGTGGCTTCAACTTCGATTTCGCTCCCTCGGGCTCTCGAGCAGTCCAGGTCAAGGACACATGTCAGCCTTGAGGCTCAGGCATAGCACTTGAAGAGCCGTCCTGGTCCTGCACAGCTCGTCCCTCCATGTCTTCAACTTGCTTCAAGGCTACGGCCGAAAAAACCGAAGCTCGTGTCCATTCTCACTGCTCTGCTGTGTCCCTCATGAAACGTAGATAAACCTTCGCACGACACTCGGGCACAAGTTGGTTTCAATACCATGCCACAATCATGTAGCAAAGGTTGTCGATGAAGGAAAGCATCGTCTTGCACTACGGTGCGACTCTCGGTGGCTGCTGGCCATTTAACAACCGGTACTGTTGCGATGTGCCTCGGTGCAGCTTGACTGGCCAAAAGCTGGCTGGTACTGGCCGGTGGCACACCTGTCCAACATGCTGTCGGCCCTCTCTCTGTTGAACGCAGGGCTCAGGCCTCTCACATCGGGTCGCATCCAGGATGCTGATGGTGCCCGGCTCACAAACATCACAGGCCTACAGTAGAAGATGCTTCTGCACTGGAAAGCAAGTGTTTTGGCATGCTTGCTGTCCAGCAGCACTTGCCCCGGAGGCGTTGGCAACAGCTCCACTTGGGCACTTTTGGCACCTTTGCATTTCTAAGCAGGACAGGCGTGGGCTAGATTTACGCAACGCGGGGTGGGCCGAGTTAACTGGAGAAGGGCGCTCGGATGTTCCGGATGTGGCTGAGAAGCGGCCTGGAAAAGCCGGAAGTTCAGCAGAATTGCTTGCCGACTCGCATGAACATGCTCGGATCGTTCCGTCTTTGATGATCAGATATAGCACTGCCTCTTGGACACGTGCGGCAAGTGGAGTAGCCTGCCGCACTTGTGAAGGAACCTGGGAGGAAATCAATCGCACAAGCTCGAGACTCTAGTGACTCTAGGCTCGGAGTGCAGACGGCTCACGAATTTAAGGTGTCTGCCGGGTCCACACAACTCACACTGCCGCCTAGGCCAAATGAGCGCAAGCCTGTTTACCATCTTCTTGATGAGGCAATGGACACAAGGGACCAAGGAGAGCACAGCCCTTCAGCAGGCCCATATGTGCCCGGAGAACACTTCTGGCACTTGGAGGTGCCCCTGCAGCTCGGCACCCCCGATACCACAGACGGTCATGGCACGTGCACACCTGCAACGCCCTTGAACAAATCTGAGGCTGAAACTGCTGGCTGGAATGTCCGAGAGGGCAAGAGCGACACTCATGGGAAGGCATGTCCTCGCAGCTCAAGACTCCTCCGTCCGTACCCTGACTCACGACCCTAGGTATGAAGAGAACGATATTACTGGTACTTATGGATCGCCGTGGACCTGACCTAATGACGGATCTGAAGCTGGCAAACGTAACCAGAAATCACCCTTTGATTGCAGATGGTTGTTTCTACACACGGTTCCCGAACGGCTTGGACATTGGACTGGGCCTCGGAGCGGAAAGTGCCGTTGGGGCAGGCATCGCAATTGCTGCTGTTGTCAAAGAAGCCTGGAACACAGTATGCATCGGGGAGTCTTGAGGAAACGGCTTTGGTTTGTAGCTCTCTAGGCCAGCCCGACCCTTTCAGCCCACGGCCAGGTGAGCAGGTCAACAGGCAAAAGCCTGCTGTTGAGGATCAGCGGGGGTTTACATCTTGGGTCTTTGCAGGTAGGTCTTATTGCTGGGTTTTTTGTGAAGGGTTTAGAACCGATTTGCAATGCCAGAATCTGACTGGGCCTTCCGCCGCATTCAGTGCCCAGAACACCCTGCCTCAGCCAGCACGACTGCCAAGCTTCATGACAGTGCATTCCAACTCTTCTCGATGCGCCCTATCCGAATACTTGGTACGTTGTCACTTGCAACTTGGAAAAATGCCACCTACGACGCTATGCGAGAACAAACGCTTAGCATGGCAAGTGCCAGTTGCGACTCTTGCGTCCCCCCTCTCTTCAAGACCCTTTGCGGACTACGGGTGGAGAATTTCCGTGGTCATTGTTTTTTGCAGCTTTGGCAACTTTTCATTTTTTGCTTCTACGTTTGATTTATTTCTTATCGGGGGAGTGGGGGCGGTGGTAGTGGTGGTAGTAGTAGCAGCAGCAGAAGCAAGAGCATGAGCAGAAGCAACAGCAGCAGCAGCAGGAGCAGGAGGAGGAGCTTGAGAAGCAGCAGCAGAAGCAGCAGTGAAGCAATAGTAGTAGCAGTAGCGGCAGCAGCAGCAGTAGCAGGAGTAGGCGAAGTAGTAGTCTTGTTGGTCACCCATCTGGCACGCCTGCGCCAGCTCCGGAGGGTTACAATGGTCAACGAGGCTCAGACGCATCCCAATCATCAGAACAACCCACAGCAACCAAAACACCTAAAGCCAAGCACCAAGCAATAGGATGTTTCCGCGAGAAAGGCCCGGCTTAAATTGCGAGAAGACGGGGAGTCAGTGAGAACTACTTTGGCGCTCAAAGGAGGCGAAGAGTTTCATGGGGACTGAACAACCAAAACCAATGAACAACAACCCTAGTTAGCAGGGTCACCAACAGATCACCGCAAGGATTTCCAGGCATCTAACTCCCGCGACATAATTCGACCGCATACAACTAACTCCTCGCGCAAAAGAGTTCAAGTCCGCATCGAAGTAAAAGCAAACTCATTGTAGTGGTGGTAGTAGTCGT